ACCCTTAAAACAAATTCATTATTGAGGATCACGGGCCTTCCTGGTCTACTACCTTGAAATCTTGTTTAGGAGCAATCTTTACATAAAAAAATTGAGTAGGGAATTGATGGTTTTGGGACGCTATCAGTTTTGAAGAAGAACTATAGATACTTATCAATACTCTCAGCAAGCCAACCATTGGCTTAGTAGTAATGACGGTTTCTATTTTTCTAACGGAAATACACTTAACCATACATATTGTTTTGATAATAAAAAGTTGGATCCCCCCAAAATAGCATAATAGAGGACCCTTAAAGCAAACAGGGTCAAACATTATTTTTCAAAAAGTTAGCATTACAGAGGGCGCTATTACTAATCAGCGTCCAACATTATGCAGGGAGGGTCTCCGACATGAGTCCTTTTATTTCTATTTTGTTGGGTCTTGTCTGAAATATGCTGTAAGTACTCAGGATCTTAGCTGGCGCAGATCCCAAGTAAAAGATTTGCTTTCAGTTCGGACACTCGCATTCCAAGTTCTTTCCACCCTCAACTTTCTCCCCTCCACACGTCTCTCGCCCACACCTCGCCTCAGGTCAACGAACTCCGGGCCAAGAGCGGCGCGTCGCTCGAGGTGGCGAGGCCTGGAGGGGGCTCGACCGACGCGCCGTGGAGGGGGCTCGACCCCCCTGGCATCCACCCCGATCACCTTCGAAACGGAGGTAGTTCGGAACCCTACAGTGTGCAGCGACCTACCTGAAGAGCTGAATGCGGAGTTTTACACGGAACTCGAAGTGGAATGGTTGGTCTAGAGGGGTCGGACGTTTGAAGAGCTGAAGTCATCCAGAAAGGTCTGGGGCGGTGTAGCCCAGTGGCCAGTGAGCCACTTGTCTTAGAATCGAGGAGGTGGAGATGAAGCGGAGATTACAGTACCCTGCATCCCTACATCCAGCAAACATAACAAACATGGAAGTGGAGCACGGGCCCCTGGAAGACGGCTTCCCTCCACTAACCAAATGCTTTGTTGGAGGGAGGGTATCCTGTGGGAACTGCCAGAACAGGGAGGAGAACTAGGCGAGAGGTTGGGCGATGCTAAAAAACCTGACCATTGGAGTTTTGTTAGCATTTGGCAACTTGGCAACACAGCTCAGCTTCACAGCAAGCACACCTTGATCTTCCAAGTGTGGAGTTCAGATGTTTTGCATTTGTTGGAAGATCAACATCATATATTCCAACGCATGTCCAGGAGCCAATTACTGAAATAAGCAAATTGACGGATCATTGTTACGCTGCCAAGAATATATGGGAACATCATCATCCCTTCCGGAACCTGGATTTGGATTGTGAAAGCTAGCAGCCGTTCAATGTTTGGTGGTATCATTCCGAGCTGCCAGTTTGTCATTTACTGAGGTTGTCACATGTTGGCAGTATGTGACTGGATTTAGCTTGTTCTGGTGTTCGTTTGTTTGTTTTGTTTTTGTTTTTGTGTCTTGTTTTTTGCATGCTGATTTTCTTATGTTGCTTCTTGCCCCCTCTTGTTTTGGTTCTTCTTGTTGCATGCTGGGGGTCTATTGGCGGTAACCTTACAAAGCCGTCGATGACATGGATAGATGGCCACTGACTCAGATCGATCACTTGATGCGCCACCCACCGTGCCCACGCAGCATCCTCGCAGGACCGGCGGCCCGCTACGGATCATCGAAATCCGTGGCAGCAGTAGCGAGCGGCGAAAGGCTGTGGAGCTCCTTTTGGACACCATTCAGGTGAGAACCAGGGTTGCAAGTTCAAGTTCCATTTGTATTTGTTGGTGGTCCTTTGCATGTATTGAATCTTTATCCGAGTTCACCCTCAAAAAACGCACAAAACATGTATTTCAGCACATGGATTCTTTGGGTTTGCATGTGGGTTCTTTGGATTTGGATTATTTCTTTGCTAACATAGCTGTGGGATGTTTTGGGGGTCAGTTGAAGAAACCTCGGGCTGGGAGGTCTCTCCCACTCGAGCCGTTGATGCATATGCAGGCCGAAGGATTCCTTGTTGGTTTGTCTCATCTGGGTGAATTTACAGATCACACTCTTCACAACCCCGCTAAGAAGGGACAACCCTCAGATTCCATTGACGGCGAAGGAAAGATGGTGAGAGGTTGATGGCAAGCTAAGAGGATGTTGCACAGCATCTATAGTCTACATATTACCTAGCTGAATCAATAGGAGTCAGTGGGCTGGAAGGCCACTAATGCATGACAATCAGTTGCTCAAGTGGCCTGTGCTCGTCATGAGTGTTGGCTGCTGGCTCCTGGAATTGGTGTTGTGTTACCTTCACCACCACCACCACCACCACCACCACCACCACCACCACCACCACCACCACCACCTTGAGCTCAAATGCTCATCAATCCCAGTCCACTCATCAACCTGACATCATCCTTTTAACAAAACCGTCAGCTCTCCGAAAAAAACATCCGCACACATGATCAAACATGCACAAAAAGACCTGGGTTAACCACTTCTCTTTTGCCGTGAACGTTCGGGGACCTTACCGGGACGAGACCTGGGTCTTCCGAACTCGGACCACCTGCCACACCGGGGGGGTGGTGGTTTCAACGGGGGATGTCAGGGGATGTCATGGGTCAGTTGAAGGATTTTTCAGATACGGATTTTCCACATGTTTTCAACATGTCTTCGTCTGTGCGATGTTGGCTCGTTTTGGCACTGTGAGAGCGCCGTAGCCAGAGGTTTCTACTTCTGCCTACCTGGAGTGTTTGGGTGCTTTCGTTGGGGTCTGCCGGACCGCACCGGGCCCGCGGACCCGCCAGGAGCTTCCAGCGAGTCCACCGCGCGAGACGCAGTTGCTGGCGCCGCCCAGCGCTGTACTGGAGATGAGCTGGGAACGCTCAGAAAGCCACCGCGAAACGCGGGGTGCACGGCGTTTCGTGTCTTCGGCTTGTTGGGTGTGAAACATGGCAGGTTGAGGTGGTAGTGGTGTCAAATTTGGAGAGGAACTCCTGTGGAATGTTGGATGGGAGGATTTTCATTGATATATATAACATATTGTTCTGCGTGGTTTCTTCATGGTCTGGATGTTTTGATGTCTTCAGGTGGCCAAGGCCCATGATGGGGAATCCAAGTCTCCCATTATGAGGACTTGCCTTTCCTCGGTGCGCCAGCTGGCAGCCAAAGGCCCTCCAAGTTGGGTTACACATGGCACCGCCATGCGGCGAGTGACCATTTCTGGTAGCATGACGACCAGGGCAGAGACATGATGTTCAAGTCTGCATGCTTGAATGGAGATGTAGGCCAGGCTGCCTGGCTCACCTGTCAAGGGGTGTCCCAAAACCACCTGTTGGAAGGTAAGCATGTAGATGGCCAGTTCCGAGACTTGGTCATGATCATCCTCCACCTTGTGGACTTCCAGGTCTTTCACTCTTCGACCCAACGGCGTGCTTCCGGCGCGTGACTTCCCAAGGTCGCTTGCAGCACAAGACCAATGCACGGGTGCAGGTGGAGAAGCTTGGCCCTGAAGGTGCAAGTGTCATTTGCACGTGAGGGGCGAACGATGATGTCTATTCCTGCCCTAGGGATCCAAGTAGCTCCGAGTCGAAGGTGTTTGGACCCAAATCGAACACATCACCTTCTCAGAGGGCATGTGGATCCATAGGGTTTCTTCATTCTATGCGTGCTCATGGCATGGGTCAGCACAGCCCACCATGCAAGCTTGACCTTCTTGGGCCTGGGGGCCGTTCATGTGGCCAGATCAACCGGCATGGTCACGACGCGCCGGTCTCCAGCACACTCGGGTTGGATGTCACACTGCTGGGGTGTTGGATCTGGGTGAAGCTACGCCTGTGAGTGCCTGAGAACTGTCCAAAATCTGGCACCGGGTCCCAACATGAATGGCTTCAAGAACAAGTCAAAATTGGACTCAGGGTGGCTCATTTTTGGGATAGATGTTTCTCCGGGTGAAAACGACCACGGATTCCAATTCGTAAGATCTTGTAAGTGCTTTTGTTGTGGTTTTCACCCCATCAACTCCATAGCTTAGAGTTTTCATCAGAGAAGTCTGTCCGGCCCCACCTCGCCTCGCCAGGCGCGGATGGCTTCGGTACTGGCTCTGGATGCCGTTTGATCATCCTGTCAGGCGCGGTACCGCGGTACCCTGCGGTAGTCCTGGTGGTGGACCCCATCGGAGGTACGAGTAGAGTAGGATAGCTACAGCTGCTAGCAGGGTAGGAGAGCTACAGTCGCCCATGTCACCCTTCACCGCCTTCACCCAAGACATCCCCCAAAACCCTGGAAGTCCAAAGACTTTTTTGCCCCCCCTTGAAGATACAAATGCATGCAAATCGAATTCTTGTTGCACGCAAGTGTCAGATCTTCCGATCTTCAATGGCCCTCGCGGATGGGGCTGGTCTATCGTGGCCTTCGGATGTGGCACTCGCGAGGCCCTCGCGAGGCGGTCAAAGAGGCGGCACTCCAGGCCGCCGTTGGGGTCTCCAGATCTTCACGACGTTGTGACCGACTGGCCCGCGGTAAACGTCGTGACTCGTGACCCACGCAGGTGGGAGTTGTGACATGGTTTGACCGAGGTGTAGACGAGGGACGAAAAAGAAGAAAACACCACGAACGGCCTTAGCTGGTGGATGGGGACCTATACCGAAGTCATGTCATGTGGAAGGCTTCCAGTTGTTGATTTAGCGGGAGACCAGTAAATTTGAGATGAGTGACCTTGCAGGAACCAGGTAACCAGGGCACCACAGATGGTTGTGGTTGCTCCATGCGTGAGCACCAGTGGCATTTGTACACATCGCTCCTTCTCACCCGAGAAGGGCGTGTCCAGATTCAGGTCCGGCTGGAGAATGTGCCCATCCATGGGACTGGAATAGTTAGGAACAAGTGCATCTGCATGGCTTCTAGTAACACGTGCCTTACTAGTAGTAACAAGAAGGCACTTGTTACTACTGTTCCTAGTAGCTTCTTGTTACTACTAGTAAGGCACTTGTTACTAGACTTGTTCCTATGCCTACATTGACCGTCCCATGGATGGTTTGGGGTGGGTCGGGGTCGTTGGGGCTCGGAGTTCAGTTCTTCCACCTGAGGCCATGCTGGGCCAAGCTTCAACACATTCAGCCCCGACTGCGAGCATGCAGGCCTGGAACCGTAGGCTATCATTTGACACCCCTTGGAAGGGCCAAGAGGAATAGAAACGCCGAAAAAGAGCTCCCCCTGGAAGCTGGTATTAAGCTTAAATCATGGGTTGACAGAGTGTGAAGTAAAGAGGGAAGCCTGGCCAGAGGGGTTCCGCACGCAGTTCCTGCAGTCGCTCGCTTTGCACAAATGTTCTACTGCCACTCTGCAGCCCGGCCATTTCAAACAGTGGCTCCCATTTTGAAGGCGGTTTAAGGAGGCATGCAGGAAGGTCCTGGCTGGTAAGACAGGCTTTTGCAGGAGCAGTCCTGAGCCCTTAATTTTTGGACGATATCATATGAGACAACACGCATTTTCACGCCAACACGCTCCTGCCAATGCTCCAACTATGGCCCAGGCCACATGCTCCAACTGTGGCGCCCTTTTCGATGATGATGCTTGGCAAATGTCGAGTTGTGCAAGACTTAAAAACTAAAGAATATAAACTGTGTTTATGCTAAAACTATGCTTCTAAGTTTCTATGGCATGCCGTCGCATGCTGTCGCTCAAGGGATCTTGAACCAGAGCTGCATGTGACTTTTGGGTCGTCAGCTGGGTGGACACTAGAGGACAACTGCTGCGCAAGGCTGCGAAGGCTGGTGTTGGCCTTGTTGATAGGTTGAATATGTTTGAGAGGATTTTTTCAACGACCACCAAAGACAACACGGGTTTCTTTTCTCAACCAGAGTTGTGTCGCCTCCCTGATTCGTCGACCTGCTTTTCTCGGCCAGATTCAGCGGGCTGCATGGGTTTCTTTTGACATGAGGTGTCGTTTGTTCAATAGTTATTCTAGTAGGAAATGTCCACTTCCAACAAACCTTGGGAAGGTACAGAAGTGCATAGAGCCAAGTCAGTGTTATTTGTATTGTTAGAGCTCACCAGCCTGAGGACGCGGCCTTTTGCAAGAAATGCGGGCACAAGCGAGCAGAGGCCCCTTCAGCTTGGGGAGCTTTGTGGTGAAACTAGCTCATCAAGCTCATGAAATGACTATGACTATGACTATGCTGCTTTAAAAAGTTATCCCTCTCTCTCTTAATATAAAATAGTATAAACTGTACCGTTTACATATATTCAGCATTATTCAGTTATATATACATAGTGGGAAGAAGGGTCAAATATATTTATCAAATTTTATCAAGCTCCTAGAGTGAGCTCGCGTGAGAAAGCTCCACAGCTGTGGCTTTCAAGACTTTGTTCACCTGGTTTTCCGGACGGACGAGTCGGCGCACCAACGAGTCGATGTGAACGGAGAAACCGACGTGTGAGGAGCGAGTTCTACTCAGAAACCGAGCAACTATAGAGGCTTAGAGACTACTGGAAACCGAAACTTTGTAGAAAGCAAGCTAGAAATCGAAACCATGAAACTGAGATACACTCCCAGGAATTATGATGGTTACATGGATGGCCTGGCCCCAACAGGAGAACCATTTTCCGAAGACCAAGCCGGTGGTGCCATCCACTTCCATGATATTTCCAGGGAATGATAATCTTTTGACTATTATCAGTCCCAGACGCTCCATGTATGCCATATATGCCTACATTGACCCCCAAAACCACCCAATGTAGGCATAGATTCCATACATGCAGTGTTTGGGTATTCATTTTAGAGCTCTTTTTCCTGGCCTCGTCCTCGTCCAGGCTCGGCGCTCGGCACGTTCGGTGTCTCCTGTTGCTCGGTGGGACCAGACTTCGAAGGAACCTGAACATTGACCTGTTGTGACCCGTGCGTTTGAATCATGTTCTCCACTGCTAGCGGTTTTGATTGCACCATATTGCACCACTTGCAGCATCTTGCAGCAATTCGATTCGCAGGCGGTCCGGGCGTTGTGACATGTTTCCGGGATGGGCACCACTATACGATTGGTCGACTCGGGGAAGACGCGTGTGGCCAATTGTTGTTTGCTGGTTGTCGAGTTGAGGCTTCATGTTTGGATTTTTCGTTAAATCCTTGACACTGGACAGTAGCAAAGTTGCCAAAGCTTGTTTATGTTTGTTTACTCGTCATGGAAGGAAACAGGTAAAGACTGTATGGGAAGCAGTAGCCCATTATTTGCTTTGCTTGGATGCTCACTGGCAGATGTTTTTGGGCAGGATCATTTGATTCTTGAACACTGGAAGGTGATTTGTTTCTTGCGCAGTTGCTGGGGTGAGCTGGTCGGCTGACTGGTAAACTAGTAGGCATTCCCAAGGCTACACCACACCTGCAAGTACCACGGGCAACTGTTTTTCCGTGAAGCCCAGGCTAGGAACCCCCGAGGGGTCCACATACCCTGAGAAGGTGGTTGGTCTTACCACTGAAGGGTCCAACGACCTTTTGAGCATGTGGATCATTGCTGAATCAAGTCCTGGGCGTGAGATGAGTGAAACCCGGTCTGAAGGCCACTGGCAAACGTGGCATTTGGAAGGCTGTTGTGTGGTTGTCATGTGGCCTTCGCGACACTTACACACACCCAACGGCTGGATCCCATCACAGAAACCCGATGGACCCAAACAGACAGGCCTTTGGGTCTTTGACCGATCGCCGACCAGACTGGCCCTCCAGCTTTGCTTCACCCAGGTCCCCTCCGTGAGAGCCTTGAGCGTGGGCGCGGCCGGCCGAAGAAGCAGCGCCCCGGCGCAGCGGAGCCGAATTGCCGAGAGCGGTTTCCACCCTCACATGCCCAAAGGTCGTGTTTGATCCGCCACATCACGCTCTGAAGTTGGGATGGAGCGGAGCGATTTCGTCTTTTCATCGTCTCCAACAGGAAAAGACTGACCAGCAGAGGTTGAAGAACTCTATATAGACTATCCTATATGTACCCCTGTAGGGTTCTATAAGGTCACTTAACCTCTGTAGGGACTGGTGGTGGTGTGTGTGTTCACAGCAATCACGTTGGATCTTCAGGTGGGAAGATGGTTCTTATGATCAGATGTTTTGCTTATGGTGAAAACGATGCAACCAACCCCGGCCGAGGTCTTTGCAATATTTGTAATGCATATCCATGGATGCAACGAACCGTTCACGATTTTCCGCGGCCCAAGGACACCCGGAAGAGGAATGCAAAAACAATTCCCATCCATGGGACTTGAATATTACTGCATGTGTATATTAATATATATATATATATAATGTTATAGTTATATACACTTGGGCCATTTGGATGGGGTAAATGTAACTATTCCATGCATGGATGGTTTGGGATTACACACTCCATCACCGGTTCGCTTTTGCTGTGCCTGATTGCCTGAGGCCTTCCTTCCAGCGATGGGGAGACTCAGTTGCTGAAGGCCGGCAAGCTTTTTCACCGGTATATGAAGACGTCCCAAAGACCCTCATTTTGCTACTGTACGACCCTTTAAAAGTCCTGAAGTTCAGCAAACAATTTTCCTCAGAAGGTGGGCACGGATCGTTCGGAAATCCATCATTGCACAGTTCCGTTCATCAATGCCAATCTCAGGCTTCCAAACAGCTCAGATGGAATTTCCAGCTTCCAAACAGCTCAGAAGCCCTAAACACATCCGCACCCCCGAGTTTGCAGAGTCCCCATCCCCAGCGCACCGGCAACGAGGCGCTGCTGGCCGGACCGATGCCACAAACAGCACGTTTGGAGCTCCTGTTGCCCGGCGACTTCGCAGCTCACCGCACTGGTGTGCGGGCCGGCCGTGCGGCCGCCCGTGAGGAACTTCTCCATGAATGCTCCCCCAAAAAAGAATTAAAAAGATGGAAGATAGGGAACTGATTGGGAGCATCCTGTTGAGGCTGCTTGGCCTCAAATGACCTTGTTCAATACTAACAACATCTAACAATAACAAATATATCTTGGGTTTGTCCTATTACCTGTAACAGTCAGCAAATAGCAAATCACTGTTTTGAACTGTCGGCCTGCTCTAACCATCATCATCCACTGTTTACAGGTATTAGGATAGACCCAAACAGATCATCTAATCTTGACAAGTCATGTCCCACACCATACGGCTGTGTGGGGTTCGTGTTACCATGTTGTTTGTTATTGATGTACAGCTTTGGTAGGTCTGGTAGTGACTTCGCATTCCAATGGTCTGACAGTTTCGCCAGTTTGGCTCCTGATGTTGGTGGAGTGTTCAGCATGAGGACTTTGCTGGATCACACAATATCAACACTGAGTAAAAGTATGTCACTTTGACAAAGGAGAGGAGGGAACAACAGAATCGCCAACCTTTCATTCTGTGACCAAGATCTACCCCAACAAACACACCATGAATGAGCCAGGATTGAGGACGCCCTTCCAAAAAACTTCAGAAACTGACGGAAAACCTTCGCTATATCAAGAAAAATGAACTCAATTGTCCTATATGCCTCTAGTATTATCAGTATATTATCAGCATATCAAGTAAAACAACTGCTCCAATTCATTGTCCACCTATGCAACCTGGCCCAAGCACCCTTGCTCGTTTGCGCTACTTGGGCGTATCTTGACACGCCAAGGTACGCTTGTGCCTGGAGTCGGGGAGTCACTTGCAGACCGTCGCATGGCCGATTCGAGGAGATGGTGGGTGTTCAAAAGGAATGATAAACCCTAGGGCTCGGTATATATATTATGCCTACATTGGTTTATATATGCCGATCAGTTGGGGTGCTTTGATATATATGCCGATCTACATTGTTTTTGTTTTTTTTTTGAGGGGTTGATGGGCATATATGACAGACGTGAAGTGTTTGGCGGGATATTTACAGGAATCATGTGGTTCAGGAGCTATGATATCAGATATCTGAATTCCAGCAAAATTTTTACGAATTCAAGCTTCAACTGCCTCCAAAACTTCTCTGTTGTGCCAGCAAGTCCAAGGACGGTGTGTTTTCTCCAATGCACCGGAAGCCCCGTGGAATCAGGTCGCGCTACGCACCGGAAGCCACGTGGAGTTGGCACCACCTGGGCCGGAGCCCATGCGCGACTTCACGGCAGCTTCAGTGATCCGCCGCGTTTTCACTTGCCGCAACTGGTGTCCTTTCCAATTCGCAACGGTTGTTTCTCGAAGCAGCAGTTTGCTGCTTTCTCTTGAGGGCAATGAAAACTGCTGGCAATGGAAAGGGGAAGTTCTTAGTGCAACTTCGTGAAGTGTTGGTCGCTCCGACGCATTGGTCAGTCGTCACGTGCCCTCGAGGTCCTCATTACGTAGCTTAGAAAACGCCGAAGGCGGTCAATGAGACCCAATGCCAAGTCATGCCGGTCAATGAGACCCACTCGCCATGCCGGTCGGTTGAATGTTACGAACAAGATCCATGAATTCCAAACTCAATTCGCTGGGATGGCAAAGGGCATATATGTTCACCATCCACTCTCCAATGCAAATCCATGTGCCCCTGTGGGCGGAAAGATAATTATTCTGTCTTTGTCTCATGCTCAAAGGCTGAAGCACGGCGCAAAAGCCCCTTAAAGGCTGGTTCCAGCCCCCCTCGGATCCGCAGCTCAGCTCCTGCGTTCTCTCAATGGTTGATTTCGTTACACCCGTTGAAATCGTCGAAGTGGACGGCATAGTCCTGTAAGATCCGCAAGGATGACCATTTTCCGTCCGAAGACCATAGTCCGGTCGGATTCGATGATTTCAGGGAGTGCACTCTTGCAACAATTACAATTATGGAAGTTGACAACCCCCTCTTGGTAGAGGAAAAGAGTCTTCCAAGGGGCGAGGGAAGTCCATGTAACTATGATTTCACGGAGTGTAAACAAATCCACTGCCACTGATTGACGGTGAGACTGGGGATGTGGGACTGGGGTACCCAAAAGAGGTTCGTTGGGGATTCCTCAAACGTGAGTTTGGAAGAAAGACACAACGACTCATACCGGGAACGTGGCGAAGTCCATGTCGAGTAAAATGGGGCAAAATAGACATGCATATAGCTGCATGGGGCGGATTTGGGTATCGCCAGGCGATAGAAAAAGAGAGAAAGAGAGGGAGACCTCATGAATTTCAGAGAGGTTCCATGCCTGAAGGGGATGGACGTTTTGGAAAAAAGAAGAGGGCCAAGGATTGCGCCTGCTCGGTCCACCATGTTGGGTTGGGATGTGAAAACAGGTCTATTTCTTTGATTGGAGGATCGGGTCCACTTCTCATGATTGCTGATCACTACTTGAACGTGGCTGTGGCTTGTAACTCTGTCAAACCAAGGAAGAAACCCCTTTTCAATCCTTTTGCCCTCATCAAATGTGAGGACGATCAGAGCTTTGCCAGTCGCCCCCGTGGTTGACCCTGTTTTGTTGTTGACCCTGTTTGACCGTCACCGACACGTCCAGTTGAAATCCACCCATTCCCGAGCTGCGCCGATCCATGCTTTGGGTGGCTGAGCTGCGCGGCCGCGCGGTCTCAGGCATGGTCACCGTGAGCGGCACCATGTTGGCCAACTCGGTGGCCGTGGCGTGGCTGGTTGGTGCACGGTCACAAGGGGGGCTTGCGCGCATTCCGAAGGGTGCGCTCAGGTCCTTTCTCCATGGAACTGGGAGGTGCGTGAAACGGTGCCGGTGTAGAACTTGTGTTATCACCACGTTTCCAGTTGAGCCCTCGGTCCACCATGACCCGAGTCCCCGCTTTTCTGGATCATAAGAGGGCAGGCCTAGAGGGCCGACGAAGGGGAAAAGCATGGAAAAGCTGATTTGGGGGGTTCATTCCACCTGACACATCCCCCCAGCAGGTCCGGAGCTTCGAACGCCGAACCTTTTGGCCCATGTTCACGAACCTTCTGGTGATCTAGGACATGCATCAACATGCGGCGGTATGTTGTGTCCTGCTGAGCAGTGGTTCAGCTATTTCATGCTATTTCCATTCACAGACAATTTGTTTCAATGTGTTTCAACAGTTGAAGCTCACCCATCAGCGTGGGGTGACAGATGTAGTGCCCCTATCAAAATCCAGCACAATTTTCGGTGGGCAGCATGCTGACCATGTAGGGTGACGTGGTCATCCAATCTTCATTGTGTATACGGGAGAGCCCATGAGCGCGGAAGATCATTGTATGTTTCAGAGGACATTGAGGGGGCCTTAGAAGGCCAAGGAGGTTCCCTGATTCTTTCCAAAGGACGCTTCCAATATCTTCCAATTCTGTTGAAAGATCATCTCCAAGACATCCACCATCATCCACCCTTCATTCATGAGACCAGTTTCCCATCATCTTCCCCATCCCCAAAAATGGCTTCCATCAGCGAGCTTCCCCCTGAGCCGAAAGCTTCTCGCTCTGGCTGGTTCTCAGCATCCAGGTGCTACAACTCCAAGAACTCCTTCAGCAGCCATTTGGAGCACCGGGTCCCCGTCGTGGGTCGCACGCGCCAACGTCGGCCCCGTGGGGTCCGGCGATCCACCCCTCCGCTCCTACGGCCGCGCACCGGGCCCCGGCGATCGTCGCAGGTCGTTGGGAGCGTCGAACTCGTTCGGAGCGTCGTGCACGGGCATGGGGAGAAAGCACTGCTCGCAGCTTTTGCTCCTTGAAGGGAATGGGAAACAGAGGTGGTTCCAATTGGGTGGTTGATTCATATGCACCCAAACCAAAGCACCAGGGGCACGGCCTCAAAGATGCAACAGAATTTTGTTGGTTTTCACCGAGCACCATGTGCATGCCATGATGAACCAGGTGTTGTTCACATGGTGGATTTGGTAGGTACCCAACACTCCAAAGAAACGAAGCACCTCAACAGGGACTGAGTCTTAAAGCAGCGAGGGAGGGAAAGGGACATGAGGAGATGGGCGAAGAGCGATCAACGCGGAATGCTGTATGTTCTCAAGGCCAACATGATCCAATACTAACGATGGGCTAACTGCATCTCTAGGGTGTGACCAAGCATGGTGACTGGGGTTTAGTCCAATGAAGCCTGAGGGGAGCATGTCGTTGGAGCCCCAGCAATTGATTTGACAACCTCAGATGACTCCCTCGCTGCACATGATGTGACTTGTTTCGCTCCTTGGATGCTCAGGTATCAAGGCTTTTGATCCTGCAATGCAGAGAAAAGATGGGCCGTGATGTTTGTGAAAGACGGGTGAACTCGGTGATGCCTTTTGAAGGAACAGGTTGGGCGCTAAAGAGTGGGACCCTCCAAACTGGTACGCTTGAGGTAGAGTTCATGAATCTGAAGACTCAGCCCCAATTTTGGGAGGCATGTCTTCCAAATGAAGCCACCATGCATGATGGGATGACAGTGGGTGAGATGGGTAGTGCATAGTAGTGCTAGAGATACTCCTATGGCATAGAATTCGGTGCGCTTAGGACCCGTGAAAAACGCAGTCACGACCCGGGTGCTTTCCCCAATGGGTGCGGTGTTCGTTTGGGTCGTCCATGGTCGTATTCAGTGTATTTCAGTGTAACTCGGGTATTCTCATTTGACATGTATCATCATGTATCTAAAACGATGGAATCTTCAGGCGTGTCGACTTGTTCCCGTTGTCGACCTCACCCCAAGCATCCGTGCAGCATACATCCGTGCATGTTGATAGTTGATGGACAGTGGTGCTAGTTCTTTGTTTGCCCAGGTGGGTAAGCTATATATGGTGTACATGATATACCAGCTTCTTCACAGTGACCTTTTGGGAGTCCCTAATGCTTGAAGTGACCCTTCCCAGGCCTTATCGTGCCCTCAAAATCACTCAAACCAGTGCGATCACTTGGAAGAAATATACGCTGCCTTTTATTAAGTACATCTATATACATGTTGAAAGAGTCTATTCTTTTGTCCCTGACATGTTGATGGAAGCTCGAACATTTGTTTGCGCGAACTCGCTCCACTGTCGCGGCACTTTGAAAACCGAGTAAGGGGGGGGGCGAACTCGGTGGAGCCTCGGCCGGGTGGCCATGGATGTGTTTCAACGAAGCAGTAAGTACCCAAGTCCAGACTTGATATGGCACTGGCACCGACGTCTTAGACTTTTCTTGGGGTCCACTACTGGACCAAAGCACCCAACTTGGGGATTGTGCCATCATTTACTCTCCATCTCTCCAAGCTTCCAGGTCGAATATGCTAGAAGATGGTAGAAGTCTTCATGAATCTTGCGGATTCTTTGAGTACCCTCCCATGCCCTACCCATCCCTACCCCCGTTTCTGGAACTGAAGTTTTCGTCGAAAGCGGACCTTGTGTCAGGCATACATCCGGGAGAGACATCATAGCAATCAGAGCCATAGTTGTCCCAGTAGTTGTTTATTGTAGCTTTGGGGGGGGGGGCCTCCCGTCCCCGAAGGGGAATACGGTTGGATGGGAAGCGGCCGAAGCCATGACAGCCATGATGGCTGGCCCCACTTTGCTGGGATGCCCAGACTCCGGAATGGCGGGCCGCGGGCCCGTTGAGTTCTGAGAGCGGTCATTGGGCACCAGGGTCAAAGGCAGATGCTGCCAATCAACCCCTCATCCCCACACCATCCATGTATGGAATAATAGTTACATACATTTACCTAGCCCGCAATGTATATAACTGTTCCATGGATGGTCTGGGATCACTTGGGACTTCAACTCCAGTTCTGGACGGGGATGAACCCTGAACGGCTTGCAAACGGCGCAGTGTTTCCAGGTCCAAATCGGATCCCACATTCTGTTGGAATCAAGTTTCCTCTTTGGATGTTGAGTGTTTGTTTCGCACTGCCACCATGCATTCAGGGGCATCCTGACCCGGGTATAAGTCAACCAAGTCCAACAAAGCCTTCGTTTTCAGAGATGTTCGACACGCTGATTCACGGTCCATGGATGTGGATGGCAAGGTCCCTTAAAACCTTGACCCAGACGCGACTCTGGACCCGAATCCTCCGGAGGGGTCGACGGTCTTTCTCACCAATCCGCGTTTTGAGGGAGCGGACCTTCGGAAGGGGTCGGGGTCGGGGTCGGGACCTTCACGGAGCGTGAGTCATGGGTATCAATTCGGCCTCTTCTTCATCTCCCCTACCCAAACACTCCCAAACACTCCATGGGACTGCCAGTCCGGACTGCCGAGAAACGGCCAGGGGTGGTGCCAGGGGAGTCAATGTATAGGCATAGATGCCACCAGTCCCATAGCTTCCATTCCCATGGGGAGTGTCACTTTCAGTGAGAGTGACCACCCTCACTCCAATCCCATGGGTCGTGTCTGGGCTATGCATGTCTTCGTCCCGGCTCGGACCCCACCGAGGCCCATGCGTGTGGACGACCGCAGTCGGTCGTCCGACTGCCCGGTGCTTCGAGGAAGCGGTTGGGGCTGGGTGGGGAAGCCATGAGTTGGGATGAAATCATGCAAGGATGTACGAATACGAGCTATATGCACTGTAGACTCTGGTGTTCATCAACCTCGCGTAAAAAAGAGGGTCTGAAAATTGGGTACTATCCGAAGAGAAGTTTGCGTGAAGTTGTGCAAAGGGCAACGAATTTTGGGCCTTTGACTTTGAAGGAATATGATGCAGTGAGGCTTTGGAAAACGGCATCTGGTCGCAGCGGCGGTACTGTCAGTGTGAGTGATCTCAATTTGACTAATGTGACGACGATGCGGAGATGCGTGCTGATGATACAATCAGTGGGAAACGTAAGGTGAACATAGGTGAACTCAATTTTGAGGAAAGCTACTTGTGTGAAAAAGATGGTGATGAAATGGCGTCCAATGTCCAATGTTGAAACGTCAAGTTGGCATAGGTGCACGTCGCTTATGGCCTTTGAACTTTGAAGCTGAATGTTTTGTGGAGGCCATAGAAAAGATTAACAGTTTGTGCTGCAGCAAAGCTTACATTCTCAGTTGCAGAAGTCTCCTGAACATATGTTGGCGCAGCGCATTGCTATGTTGGAGCACGTTACTTGCTTGGATGCTTCAGGATATGATGAGCAGCACGAGATTTCAGCAATCAACGACAGCATTCAGCTATTGCTTGATGTGGCAGGTGCCAAACGTCCAGATGCCGCTGAGGACTTCGTGTCAACAACACATAAGGCGGCGGAGCCAGGAGGATCTGTCCTCTATGCACATCGAAGAACTGAGGACAGGATGCGTTTGTGTGACGCTGTTGCGGCAATGGCAGCTTGCCAAGCTGGCATTTTTGCAGATGTGAAACCTGCGAATGCTCGTGGAATCCATTTCGACTTGCTCACTGAGCTTGACTGTGCTCCTGGCGACCCTTCTGCGCCTCTCGAAGTCGAAAAGCTTTGAAGATAGGTATACCTACCATGGTATACCTAGAACCACCTTTAGAAAGTTTCAACAAAGATGCACTCTCCTGTGTGCCCTGAAACGCTCGCAAAGTGCGAGGCGACAATGCCACGTCCTCTTGCGAATCCACCTTCTCCTGCGCAGGATAGAGAGAGAGAGAGAGAGCACTGCTGTCGGATTCAACTTCAAAAGGCTTTGCAGCGTAGAAGTCTAGAGCAAACTCAGATATTTCACCCCGAACGACACCATCTTGAGCAACTTGCAGAGCTCCAGCCAAGTCTGCAGGCAAAGTTCCACGGTCTCCACGGTACTCCTCGTAGCTGGCAAGAAGAGCTCAAAGAACTCCACAGCCGTCAGCATGGGAGTGGAAACGGTCAGTTCGGTAAGCTTGAGGCTCTCAGAATGGCGGACGCACGCGTTCGGGGCCACGCGAACGAAGCGAGAACTGCTTCGGCTCTTCGCGCGATGACAACGGAGACACCATCCCAACCTCACTTGGAACCCGGCAAACCACTCCTAAACGCAACCTGGTAACCCAAAACCCTCCTCCCA